GTGTGTGTGTGTGTGTGTGTGTGTGTGTGTGTGTGTGTAGAGAGAGGTGTGTGTGTGGAGTGTGAGTGTGTGTGCGCGCGATAGAGTATACCCGGAGACAGCCCCCCCCCCCCCGCGTCCCTCCCGCCCACCCGCTTCTCCCCCTCACCTGGCGGGAGTGGGCCTTGGGCTCCGGAGGCTTGAAGAAGGAGTCCGGCAGTTTGCGGAGCCGCATAGGGAGCGTGTGGGGCACGTTGGCGCCCTTGGGGTTCATGACGGCGTTGAAAAGGGCCTCCAAGTCCGTCTCCGAATCGCCCCGGACGTGGACGACCTGATGGCCGGCCGGGGGCGGCCCGGATACGGCTCCCCCGCCGGGCTGAGGCGCCGGCGGCGAAGGTTGCCCCGTAGGCTGGGGCTGCGCCGACGACGGCTGGGGTGCCGCCGCCGCCCCCGACGGAGCCTGCTGGGGCTGTCCGGCGACATCCATGGCCGTCTCCCCTCCGCGTTCTCTCGCTCGCTCGCTCCGCTTAAGCAACAGCGCCGGGCTGGCCGCCCCGCATGCCCAGGCGCCGGAGTCGTTCGCTCCCTCCCTCGCCTCGCCCCCGTCTTCCGCGGGAGGGGGGCTCCGGGGGCCCAACACGCGAGGGGGGGCAGGACTCGGGGGCTCCCGCGCTCTCGCTCCGCCGGACGCGAAGCCAGGGGCATAAATCCGTCGCTTCGCGCACCAACCCTTCCAAACAAAAGTTCGGAAAGACGCCCGCCCGAGCCTGCTCCGCCCAGCGCGCGCCCGCCCGCCCCGAATCCCGACAAGCAGCTTTAATTCCACTCAGTCAGGTTTAGGGAGCCGCCGCGGCCGCCACCTCTTCTTTTTCCGCGCCCGGCCGCGCTGAAATTGAACGGCGCCCAACTTTGCCACGGAGGGTTCCCCAGCTTCCTTTCCACGCCCGTCCAGCCTGTGGTGGTGTTTCTCCTCCTCCTCCTCCTCCCCACTTCCTTCTCTTCCTAAGTGGTACGGCTGCTTCTTCGACGTTTCCAGATTAACTTGTTTTCTAAATTCCTGGAGCCGCCCGTGCAGGATTCGCCGTCGCCGACATGGACAGGAAACATGGGGTTTATAGTTCTGGCTCTCTTCCCTCCCTCTCCCGCCCCCTTTTCCAAAAAGTTTTCCAACCCTCCCAAAGAGAGAGAGAGAGAGAGAGGAGGAGGGGGGACAGTTGGGACTGTTTTCTCTTCCTCCCCCACACTGGAAGAAAAAGGGAAATAGCAACTACTAGACCCCGACCCACCAGGCTTAGAAGCGGAAAAGAGAAAGGAAACACTTTTCCTTTGTCACAAATTTCCCCCCACAACACTCTCTCTCTCTCTCTCTCGTGCCACCCCCACTTGCTGTTGTCCAGATTTCTGCGCTTTGAATTCTCACAATCCCAAGGGCAGTGCTGGGAGTTGTAGTCCAACGGGCTGGATGCGAGCCCTGACCAGCGCAAAACTCTTGGTTGTAAGAGTTTTTGCCTGCCACCCATGCAAAATCACCGCGCAAGACTGGCTTTGCAGAAGATAAATGCTTTGTCGGAAAAACACGGGTACAAAACACGCAAGTGTAGATAAAAGTACAACTGACTGACGTAAAGTTTTTTTTAAAAAAAAAAAAAACCCCACATCGGAATGTGGTAGAGATGCCACTGTGGGTGTACGAGTGTTATTGTTTAGATGAGATTATTTCAGTTTTGAAGTTTTTGTGAGGGGTTTTTTATGCTTTTTTCTTCTTTCTTACATTATAATATTGTTCTTCTGTGTTTACACACACACACACACACACACACACACACACACACACACACACACACACACACACGAAGGGCAACTGTATAAATATGGTAAATAGACAGATCCTCAAGTTGAGCATGATTCCTGGTGATTAAAATGGACATAACCTTACCAATTTTTGGCAACAGTACAGAAATGATAAAGACACTCGTTCAGAAAAGAGGTGGATTATACCAGACAATACATAATTAGGATACACATCACAAACCACAAGATTTCTGATTGCTTTTTAAAAAAAATAAAATAGGTGCATCAATACAAGAAAAAAAAATTAAGAGACAAATTTCTTGTCCGCTCCTCTAATTCTGTCAACCACTCCAGAATGTTATCTTCCAGTGTCTTTATCTCCCTAAAACCTATTCTTGAATTTAATTGTTGAAATCATGATTGCATGTGATTGATGGTTCTACTCGCTATTTAAAGCTAATATTCACAATAGTGTTCATTGGCAGGAACACCCTTCTTTGGACTCACTTCCCTACTTTTTTTCTACAATTTTAATTTTAATTAAAATTAAACTTTGTAGGACTAAATTTGAAATAAAAATGTATACAAATGATGAACATGTCATTCCTAAAATGTATACACTTATACTTGAGACAAAAGAACAATTATTTAATGTTTAATATTTTTATTTTTAATGATTGTGATTTTATGATTGTTAGAGAGGGAGAGAGATGGATGGGTGGACATATAAATGTGATAAATAAATAAAAAGTGAAATACTTTAGGGGATTGTCCTTGATTTGCAACTGCTTACTTAGCAATCAAAGTTACAACAAACCTGAAAAACAGGACTTATGGCCCAGATTCAAAGATCCAACAGTCAACCCCCACCTCCAAACTTCAGCTGCTTGGCAACAGAGCTGCATTTTATAGCCTTTTGCAGGGTTCACCTGTCACATGACCATGCAGTTTTGTCAAAACTCTGCACTTCCGGTTTTTGCTTTGCTTAACAACTACATCATTCGCTTAACAACCGTGAATTCAATTATCAACTACTGTGATTTCCTTAACAACTACTGCAAAAAAAACCCACCATAAAATCAGTCAGTCATGTGCAATTCCAGCAGGAGAGATGATAAGTGCACCCCTAGGCCTGCACAAAACCATGTGGGCATTTGAACCAATTGAAGTTTCTGGATACTTTGAAAGGGCAGCCCCATGAGGAGCGTGTTTGCGATAATATTGTTAAGCAGTATTTCCTTTTCTCATTAGTAATCTAAATTTTGAATAAATTTGTTCATGAAGTCTTCTGTAAGAATTACAAATATATATTCTCTTCGAACTGAATCATCTCAAAATAAAGGATTTATTCCGCACATCTGTGCCACGCACCATATTTCAAAAATTTTCTTATCTCTTTCGGTTTATTAGGAAAAACCCAAATGACATTTTTTCTATCAACAGCCTATATTTCTGTCCTAGAAAATTTGGTATGGTTCTTATTTAACTTTTAAGAGAGCTGTTAATATTGCTCTTCCACTTCTGCCTTCTGTAAGACTATTCTTACTTTTAATTTTGATGTTTCTTACCTTCTAAACTTTGTCATTTTTTAAAGATTTTAAATTAGAACTCACCTAGCCATCCTTCCAGGATCAAAAAACAATCCAGAAATAACATTATAAAATTATGTAATGAGAACATATATTCACATCATTGCAAGATTTCTGCTCAATAATTTATTATTTTTATAATTATAATAAAAGAATTATTAAAATAAAGTTGTCTAAGGATAGGATGTAAATTTAGCAATAGCCCCATTTCAAGTATTATACGCAGGCATTGGTAATATTAATTTAACATTCCAACAAAATCAATTACATTCCATTTGCAAGTAATTTCTAATGCTCTAACAATATTGGAATTCCAACAATCAATACTTAAATTCCTCTATTTACCAGAATTAATTGAATAACATGAGCAGTCACTCACAGAATGAAGATACCCCAAAAACATGGTACAAAACATAGATATGACGATTCAAAGGATTCACAATCAAATAGGCAAAATTTTGTTCATGGCTGTTGGATGTAGGATAACAAAGGCCATCAGCATCCTAGAAGACAAAACATTAATCATTAATATCATGCAGTGAATATATTAAGATAATAAAATAACTGCTTTCTGATTCTAATTTTGAAATAATCACTTAAATTTCATGAGGAAATAGGAGTCAAAATATGTGCCCATTGTATTAGAAAAATACAAATACAATGTGAAAATTGTAATTTAAATAAAGAAAACCTAATGGTGTGACCTTCATTTAACACTTTCGGAGTGTTTTACCAGTATGTTTAAAATACTTGGCATGTATTAACACAGAAAGTCCTCTAAAAATATAAATCAATAGTGAAGTAACATTCCTTTTAATTACATTTATAAGTTCAGGGGAACTACAAATGCATTTCTATCAAGTTAATCTAAAACAAGTGCCAGTTTGGTGGAATGGTTAAGGCATCAGGTTAGAAACCAGGAAATCCTGAGTTCTGGTCCCACCTTAAATAAAAATACCAGCTGAGTGACTTATGCTAGTCAGTTTCTCTCAGTCTTTAAAAAGGGGCAATGGCAAATCGTTTCTGCAATCTTGTTAAGAAAAATGCAGGGACTTGTCCACAGAGTTGCCACAGCCAACTCAACATGGCTAACTTGCCATAGCCAACTTGCCATGACCATCTCGCCACAGATCAACTCGCTGTGGGTAATATTTATTTAGTTGAAATAATTAAATAGTTGTCCCGTGGAAAGTTGGCAGTGGAGAGTTGTCCTGCAGCAAACTGGCCATGATGAGTTGGCCATGGTGAGTTGGCTTCAGCAAGTTGGCTGTGGCAAGTTGTCCCATTCCCTGCCAGGAATCATGCAGGAGACATAAACCAGACATAGTAGTAGAGAAGGACTAGAAGACAATGATGGTCATAGACATAGCAGTGCCAAGTGAAGCAACATCAGGAAAAAGGAGAATGAGAAGCTGGAAAAGTGTCAGAGCCTGAAGGAGAAACGAGATGATATAGAAAGTAAAGGCCAAAAGTCATGATAGGAGACTTGTGGCTGTGATTCCTAACCTTGGAGAATGACTCCAACAGATCCCTGGAACAGTACCAGAGCTCAATTATATTCAATTCTACTATCAGTCACAGCATTTTCCATGAGTTAGAACTCAGTCTACATAAAACAGTATTATGGTCAATTAAAGATCCCAAAACTTGTTTAAAAACTCAAGTCAAAATTATCTGATCAACCACAAATCTAAAAAGATAAGAAAAAATATGAATGTAAAAGATTTTGGCTCATCTTTAGAAGAACTAGATTAGCTGAAAAAGCACTGCCCTGCTGTTACATATTTAATTATCAAAATTAAAAATATTCTAAATCATTTTTTTCTTGCTTCAAAACGAATCAGGATTGTTTACTACCTCCTAGCTGATCTTTAATCACCACGTGTGTATGTCTGACCACTCTAGCACTTAGATGGAAAATCCTCATGAGGTAGAAGATTTGTTTAAAAATAGTGACTTCAGCTTTGAAATCACCTGGTTTATTAAACAGGAAAGAGGATAACTGGCCACAAGGGTGGATGGACTCAGTTACAGTGATGGAGATCAAAAGGACCAGGTTAGGGCATACTATTATGAGAAGAATGTTGTGGTCACCAACATTCAAAATTGGCTTGCTGGCACATAATAAATAACATTCTGGGAAAACAATACAAAAACCTAGATAAAGCATACAGAACATGGCTACCAGAATTCTTTCCAATCACTTCATAACAGCAATAATTATTGTTCAGGAAAAAAGAGGGGGACTGAGAATGTAAAGTCAGCAATATTTTGGGCTGTTGCCCAATTGCTTCTCCCCTAGGGAAGTGTTTGAGAAATGATTTTTTTTCTCTATAACACCTGGCTATATGCAACGCATTAATTATTTGTTACTTGCTTTCTTCAA